TATATATATATATATATATATATATATATATATATATATATATATATGTATATGTCATGGTTATAAGAGCGCTGACCGGCCTCGACCAATCAGAGCTCAGATCCCGTCAGCAGGTTCTCGGTCAGTTCGTGAACTCATGTGTGAGTGAATGAGCTCTGACAGAGTAAACAACAACGGGACTATTTTCAGCTGCCGTTACGTAACACTGCTCATTAACAAGAAGAAGAAGAAGCAGAAGAGCTGACAGATCCAGGATCAGCCTGATGCCCTATATACGCAGCTTCCTGTCCAGAAACACAGAAAAAACATGTTTAAATAAAAACAGTCGTGTTTGTGTTGTTGATGTCTTCAGTGGCTTAAATCCAGATTGGACCAGATTAGGAACACAGAAAATCCCTGCAGCTAAAAATACTGAAACAAGAAGAAGAAGAAGAAGCTTCTATAAGATCGGTTAAAGCTGACTTTTTAACAGCAGAAGACGAAGTACTCAGAAGTAAACTGGACTAAATGTGTAGAAATACTCTGTTTTTAAAGTAAAAGTCCTGCATTCAAAACTATTGCCTCAGTAAGAGTACAAAAGTGTTCAAATATACTCAAAGTACGAAAAGTAAAAGTAATCTCGATGCAGATTCTAATATTTAATTTAGATTATTGATGCATTAATGTATTCATCTCTTTCATGCTGCAGCTGATTAAAAGGTGGAGCTCATTTTAATAACTTCATCTTCACCTTTAAATAATGTTTCTTTAGCAGTTGATTCATTTTTAAATACTAATATGAATTTGAAAAAGAAACCACAGAAGAAGAAACGCTGACTCGTCGGCTGAGATTAATTCTGTTTGCTGAGCTGTGATAGGACGGCCATACGTGTGACCTCTGACCTTCATAATAAAGTCCTGTGTGATGCGTCATTATTTAAAGTATCTTCAGATTTAACTTCAGCTTTAAGAAGAAGTGTTGTGCCTCGATTTTTCTATTCAGGTTCAATTTAAATTAGACTTTAGAGACGTTTCTTTTTCCTGTGAACTGATCAAAGAATTCTCTGCGTTTAAAGCAAACTGAGACTAAAGATAATCTTGTTTTTTATTTTTATCTTTATCTGTAGTTTAAGATTAAACTACACAGAAAAACAATGGTTCTTAAATGGTTCTTTAAAAGGCAGTGTGGTTCCACGAAGAACCATCACCTACTAAAGAACCATTTTATCTATTGGATGGTTCTACATGTTTGTCACATGGGTCTTTGGGATATTAAATGGTTCTTAATTCATGTTTGAGTTATTGGATGGTATAAATTAGAAAAATAAATACCTTGCCATTACCAGCTGATATACATGTATTCATAAAAAGATGATTTTACAAATCATCACGGAAAAGATCCTGGAATATGATCTCTAAAGCAGAGTGGGAACCCTGATTCCATTGTTATGCTGTTTAAATGTACAATTTGTTCACGTTTTCAAAAAATCAGTTCCTCAAAGAACCATTTTTAGCTAAAGAACCATTTGAAAAGGGTTTTTTATGGAACCATTTGGGTCCATAAAGAACTTTTTTGAAAAGTGTTCTTTAGAGAACCTTTTTTTCTTTAGGTTCTTCAAAGAACCAGAAATGGTGCCTCAAAGAACCATTTGTTGTAGGTTCTTTGAGGCACCTTTGTGGGTTCTTTAAAGAACCGTTTAAGGAAACGGTTCTTTAAAGAACCCTGGTCTGAAAGGAACCAGAAATGGTTCTTCTATGGCATCACTCCGAAGAACCAATTTTGGTTCCAGATGGCACCTTTATTTTTCTGTGTGTAATATCTTTGCTCGAGGGCCAGATTTGGCCCCTCAGGCCACTGATTTCCCTTCACAGTCGGAGTTGTAATGTTTCTGTATGTCCAGCAGGGGTCAGACTGTCCTCAGGTCAGTTCTGCTCCTGATTGAACCTGCAGAACCACAGAGGATCAGAGACCTGAGGGTCACAGGTTCAAATCCCCCGTCAGCTGATCTCACGTCAGCTGTGGAGTTTATTCTTATTTAGATCAGTGGTTTCAACCACCGTGTGACGTTTAGTCTGTTATAAAACTGACCTGATGCGGGCGTCATGATGACACCTGCATCATCATCATCATCATCATCATCATCATCATCATCATCATCAGAGGATGAAGAAGAAGAGGATTTCTCCACATGTTGAACTGGTTAACATCCTGGTGGACGGACAGGGACCAGTTTAGGAGAAAAGGATCATTCATTAAATCTTCATCCTGCAGTAAACAACATCCATGGGACCTCCAGAGACCCCCTCCTCCTCCTTGAGGGGGTGAGAGGGGGGCAGGGGGGAAGACAGTGAGGGCCTTGTCACCATGTTGAAGCCTGATGAAGTCTCCTAGCAACTAACACAAAGTCCATTCAGTCAGAGAGGACACCATCCAACTGACCTGGAGTCTGAAAGGAGACGAGCGGCCGAGAAACACCGGGGGGGGGGGAGAGGAGGAGAAAGAGGAGAGAGGGGTGTTAAGGAAGAGGAGAGAGAGGAAGGAGGGAAAGAGAGAGAGAGGAGGTGGGAGAAGAGAGAGGTGGGGTGTAGGAGAGAGGGGGAGGAGGAGAGAAAAGAGAGATGAGGAGAAAGAAGAAGGTAAGTAAGAGATAGGGGGAGGAGGTGACAGAAGGGAGAAAATGAGAGAGGGGGAGAAGTCATAGGAGGGAGAGGGAGAGAGAGGAGGGGGAGAGAGTGGAGAGAGGAGAGAGGGGGAGGACAGGTGGGAGGAAGGGGAGAGAGTGGGAGAGAAGAGAGAGAGGAGCAGACAGGAGGGGGTGAGAGGAGGAGAGAGAGGAAGGGAGAGGAGAGAGTAGAAGGGGAGAAAGAGAGAGAGGAGGTGAGAGAAGAGAGAAGTGGGGGTGGAGGAGAGAGGGGGAGGAGAAGGAGGAGAGAGGGGAAGGGGAGGTAGAGAGGGGGTAAGGAGAGAGAGCTGGGGGAGGATCAGAGAGAGGGTGGAGAGAGGAGGGAAGGAGGTGAGGAGACGGGGGAGAACGAGGTGAAAGAAGGAGGCTGAGCTCGACTCAAGAAAGATGTGCAACACCAAATACTCAAAATCTGTAAATACTCTGAATACTAGATAACTAGAAGTACATAATCAGGTACACTGAGAGAAAAACATACATCACTCACACTTCCCCAACCCACTGTTGGTCCAGTTGCATTGTGGGTAATATGGTTGCCAGAAGAACAATAACTTCTGAATTATTCTCAGGTTTCTCTTCGTCCATCACAAACTGATGAAACCATCGTCAGAGCTTCAGCGTCATGTGTCCTCCCTCCTTATTCTCCCTTTTTTCTTCTTCTGTGGTTTTCCAGAAGGCGTACAGCATGGATCACGAGCCTCCACCGAAGCAGCAGTGTGTGAAAAATGGAAAGCACCCAAACGGCCGAGGTAGGTTTGTCCCTCTCAGGTTACCGTCGGGAGAACCGACCTGTGATTGGTTGTCTTAAAACTTTGCATTCTCTCTGCCGACCAGTAGGGGGCGACTCCTCCGGTTGCAAAAAGAAGTCAGATTGTATAGAAGTCCATAAGAGGATGACCATAAAGCAGAGTATGCTTCAGGGCGGGGCTACTTTTGACCGGAGCCGTATACGGTGTCACTACGTCACTCCTCCGCATTCCAAATATGGTAACTTCTGTTCATTGGCTGCTAAAAAAACAACATGGTGATGACGAAATCGCCGAACTCAAGGCTTCAAGACGGCAGTCCACAAACCAATGAGTGATGTCACAATGACTACGTCCACAACCGGTGAACAGGAAGTGACCATATTTGGACTGTGGAGAAGTGATGTAGAGACGCCATACAGTATATGTCTCTGGTAGCCTAGCTCCATTAAAAAGTCATTTTCAGCGTCACAAAGTTCACAGTGGTTTCAAACCTTAAACCAGTGATTCAACAGTCATGCACAAACAATGTATTTTGTCTTTTAATTTGGAGGACTTATAATACGCTGATTACATTCATTCTCCCCAGAGGATGAACCCTGTTGTTTTTGAACACTGAATTTTCACCTCCACCACCTTCAGACTTTCACTTGTTGACAGTTTTCATTTGAAACCAAAACCTGAAGACAGCAGCGTGGGAAAAGACTCAGAGCAGGTTGTCAGAAATCTTCACAAAGAGGAGGAGGAGGAGGAGGAGGGAAACACTGGGAGGATCATGTGACCGCTGTTTTACACTCGGCATGACTCAGTCGGGAGGAGTGGAGGGCTGCTGCTCCTCTACAGGGAGCATGAAGGTTCACACAGACTGAAACACATGAGGATCACCAGGACCTGGATCTGGATCAGATGGATCAGATGGATCAGAGGACAAGCATTAGCCCCGAATGGTCCACCACAGCCAGGGAGGGTATGGTGAAGTCTGGTAAGAAGCAGAGGAGCACTGACTGGATCCTCCTGAAGCATTTTCGTACTTATTTAAATTGTAGATAACTATTGTTGTTATTTTCTGCTGGGTGTGTGCAGCATTATTTTGTGTGTCGTTGTTGTGTTTACAATTTGTTTTAGATATTTTGTTTTATTCGCTTCTGCTCTGTCATTTTAACTTTTACTGTTTCACTTTTTTATCAGCTGTTTATAATTTGTGTTATTTTGATAGATTTGTCTGCATGTCAGCGCTTTGTGTTGAATTAATTCAGTGTATTTGCTGAATGTGTGGAAATGTGTGTAATGAGTAGAATAAAACTTATACAAAAATTGTTTTACTGTCATTTTGGAACTGAAATTTAAATAATGTAACTACGTATTTTAGGAATAAATTACTCGTTAAGATGGAGGTTATTTGCGGGTTTAAGAAGTCAATAATTCATATACCTCAGAAACTATTATTATTTCATAGAAAATTGCATTTACGAACGTGATTTTATTATTTTAGGACTCGACAATGAGGCTTTTACAAATTTGTTGGGGTGTGCAGTGGTGTGAATTAAGCATGCCAACCATAAAGTTATATGATCATTTACATTTCATGAATAATTCAACGCTTGAGTCATGTGTTGGAGAGCAGCGTGGCGCTCACACAATATTAAAACAGTGTGAGGTTGGTGTGGAAGTGGGGAGCGTAGGATGAAGATGAAATCACTGTTGGCAGATACATTTCATTTGAGTAGGAGTTCAGATCAACTTACTTTGCTGGGATTGTTATGTAATAAAACACCTAATAATCAGAATGAAAGGAATGTGGAGTCTTGAAGACTTGGAGTTTTAGTCCTGTTTTGGTCCAATAGTGTCTGGTGTTTTAGTTCTGGTTTATTACAGTATTCTCTTGTGCTTTAGTTCTGGTTTGTCCCAACATTCTCTGGTGTTTTAGTCCTGGTCTGGTTCAATATTCTATAGAGTTTTACGTCTGGCTTGGTCCAATATTCTCTGGTGTTTTTGTTTGTGTTTGGTCCCATATTCCCTGGTGATTTATTCTGGTCCGGTCCAATATTCTCTGGTGTTTTAGTTTTGCTTTTGCACAATATTCTCTGTTTTTTTTAATCCTGGTTTGTCCCAATATTCTTTGGCGTTTTGATTCTGGTTTATTACAGTATTCTCTTGGGCTTTAGTTCTGGTTTGTCCCAATATTCTCTGGCGTTTTAATCCTTGTTTGTCCCAATAATTTCAGTTTTTTTAATCCTGGTTTGGTCCAATATTCTCTAGGGGTTTGATTCTGTTGTGGTCCAATTTTCTGAGGTGTTCTCTGGTTTGGCCAGAGCTTTTTGATGTTTGCTCAATGGTAAAAGCAGGATTGATTTTCTAGGAGCGGATCAATAGCTGTACAGTTCAAACTAGTTTGTCTTTTGCAACATGTCACGATGTGACCCGAGTGTTTATGTAAGAGGAAAGCAGACTTCAACCTGCTGTGTTCAAACAGTTATCAACTCTGTTTGTGTGATTAATTGACAAATCATAAAGTCTGTACAATTTTAAAAAACATCACCAGTTTTTTTCAGTTTGAAAACTAGAAATTGAATTAAAATTTAATTTCAAATAAATGTGTAATTATTTTTACATTTTTTGATTATTATTATAATCAGTGTTATTGTTGTTGGTACCGGTCATTCACAGAGACAAACCAGAATGTAGAATCAAATCTAGAAATGTAAAGAACCACGTATAGTTAACACTATGGAGTGTGTGTGCAGATTTGGTACACAGCTTGTAAAATCTGATGCTGCAGGATGAGTTTCACCGAAGCCATTCGTCGCAAGGTTTAAGATGCTTTGAGCGATTTGCAGCAGCAGGTTTGATCTGATTTAATAACTTCAGTGCGATTTAATTCTCAGGATGAAGAAGAGAAAATACATTATGTTCTGATGTTACTGTGTAACATGATCACGTTTCCTCCTGGCTGAGGTGGAGTCAGACAGTCTTCCTCTCACAGAGTTATCACAGCTTACAGTTGTAACCAGATAACAGGCACTCATAGAAACGTCGATAAACTACAGAGTGGGTTTAGTTTGCACGTCCTGTCTCAGATCAATATGAAACCACGGCATATCTCAATGTCTGTCCACACTTCCTGCATGGGCCCTCATGATTCAACCCTCCTGTTGAATCATCTCCTCTTGGAAACTCTGAGATTAAATCGAGTGAAAAGTCGCAGACTGAGTCCAGATCAACTGTAGGAGAGAAGACAACTACGACGGCATTAAGCTGCAAGAATCATCCAATCAGAGACTTTTGTCAAATCTCCGCTCTGCTAGATTCACTCAGTCAAATTGTGAATGTGGAAACGTGGAGGAGCAACAGCAGCGCAGTCGTGCAGCTCAAACACAAAGCTGAGAAATGTTTTCAGCCTTCCCGGTTTATGAATAACTGTCAGTGTGCGAAATTCTTTGGTCAAAATAATGATGTATCTTTTGTGGGAGGAAATTATATCAAGCTGCAAAGTCGCAGGTTGCATGTTGCAGATTTGGTGAAACAACATTAGTTTTTATCCACTGCAACACGTCATCATGGTAAAAATCTACTTAAGGTCGGCCCTCGCTGATGCTCTAGAGTCTGAACAAATCTCTGCAGCAGCTTCAACATCTGGAGGAAAGTCTGAAACCAGAAGAGCTCGGGGGTGTTCCAGATAGCTGTCCACATACTTGTGGCCGGGTGCTGCACCAAGAGCTCATTTTTATTTTTGTGAAATATGAAGCAGCAGCGGACGTTGGTCTCTGGTTGCGCTTGAGAAAGAAGTCATTGTGTGAGGTGAACTGTATGACATCTGATCTCTGTCTCCCAGAATATCTGAGGACTTGGATCAGATGCCTGTTAATCTGTCCTTTCTTCTGGCAGACAAACAGGGACGACGGACAGGCGGAGACATGAACACTGTAGTTCAGACAAAATCTCGAAAACATGGTGTTCACAAACACGCAAGCTTCATTCTGACAAAAATCATGAGAGGAAGTCCCTGTTTTACTATACTGTATTACTACAGATGTCCTGAGGGGGGCGCTAGAGGGAAGATCACAGAGTCAGTGCAATCTAAAGGGTTCATCCTCTGCAGAGCTGATTCAAGTTTTAATCTGAGTGTCCTCGTGATTGTGTCCTCAGCCTCAGCGTATGCAGACCTGCAGCAGCACCGGTCTGAGGGCGTCCACAGGAAACCGTCCCCGGTGTCCAGCTACGTCCCCCAGCCCGACTATCTAGAGGGAGACGAGGAGGACGACCTCATCAAACCCAAGAAGCTGGTGAATCCTGTCAAAGCTTCAAAGAGTCACCAGGAGCTTCACCGAGAGCTGATGAGCAGCTGCAAACGGTAACAGTGTGTGTGTGTGTGGGGGGGGGGGGGGGGTTTGTCTACATGCCGATGTGAGGACAGCAGTGGGGAGAGGGGACATTTTGGTACGTGAGGACATTTGTGGAAAGCAGGGACATTTTTAGTCAGTTGGGAAATGTTTCTCGAAACCGAGGACATTTTTTTTATAGTGGGGACTTATTTTAGTGCCAGGATATTGTGGAATATGAGTCACTGAAGGAAACACATTATCGTTCCAGATCATCAGCTTGTCTTCTCTTTCCTCAACAGTGTTCAAAAGTACTTGTACTTTCAGTGAAGTATTCGCAATGCACCTCTCTCATCTGTGTCTTGCTGTCAGCCACCTCCAGGGCTGTTCTGTGACTTTGTGTCTGACTAAGCGTAGCTCACGCTCACGTAACTATTTATTACATTTGATAAAACGGCAAAAGGCAACGGTGTTTATAAAGTGTAGCTCGGAAAAGATAACCGTGTGCACTTGAATATGCAGCCTGGTTTGGGACCATTCGAGACAATATATGTGCGCACTTACAAAACTATGAGTATCTCGTCTCTCAATCAATGTTTTGCTACAACTTTTTGATTAAATATTGAAATTCAAATGTCGATTGGCTGGGAATACTGTGCAATATAGATGCAATGTCTTACTAAATATCAACCAGCAAGTATTCAGCCAAGTCATAGAGCATAAATCAGTCGGTAACCTCTGGTTCTGAAAAAGGAAGCCAATGCTGAAGTATCTTCAAACTTGCATTCTCTCTACTGACCAGCAGGGGGTGACTCCTTCGGTTGCAAAAAGAAGATTGTATAGAAGTCTATGAGAAAATGACTCTACTTCTCTCTTGATTTATTACCTCAGTAAACATTGTAAACATGAGTTTATGGTCTCAATCTCTAGTTTCAAGTCTTCTTCAATACAGCATGATGTTCATTTAGTACATTATGGTCCATTTAGAGTCAAACAGACCATAAAGCAGGGGATGCTTTAACCCTTTCACAGAGTGATTTCAGTTCATGAAAGTTAACTGTAACATTTTGGTTGCCTAAAAAAATGTCTGATTCAGCTTTCGGTTAGCTCCGCCCTCTCGTGTCACTTCTGGTTGCAAAAAAAAAACAACCAAGATGCTGACGGCCATAGTGCCGAACTCAAGGTTTCTAAACTTCAGTCCACTCAGAAATTGTTAAAAATATATATAAAATGCAGAAAATAATAAAACACTGAGCTTTGGCTCATGCTGGCTGATGATTCAGCATCTCCTCTACTGACAAACATCAGCAAAACACCTGTAAATTATCAGCCGCACTATTCAGACTCCCACGATATCCTTTTATACATTAAATACTATGTATACCATCGACTGTATATAAGAAGTGGATATTAGTCACTGTGACATCTTATTTATGTTCATACTAATATTCACGATTGAATAAAAGTTGTTTGTTTGTGCCTCATTCTGTTCAGTATAGCTCTACTTATTCAAATGGTTCACATAGCTCACGGGTCCCTCAGCAGAATTCAGCTTTGGACCCATCAGGGTGGTCAGCTGGCTGCCACGAGCTGACCAATCAGAGAGCGGTATTTGTTTCTTCTTTTTTTTAACGCCTGTCGTCTCGTCATGTAAAGTTTCTGAAGACACGAGCGGATGCTGCTAAGCAACAGCCTCCCACCTCGCAGGCCTGCACGCCGAGGACTCTGGGAAAGTTTTCACCTCCGCACAGTCGCTCATTCACACTCAGAGCTTTAGCACGGTGGGCAAAGAAACAAGGTCGAGGTTTTTTGTTTTGTTGTTTTTCCTCTTCAGCTTTATCATTCAGGAGGAAAAAAGAAGCTGAAAGGAGGCCCAGAGGCAAATCCAACACTCTCATCTGCTGTTACACAAATCAACCGGAACTTGAACTCAGAACTTCAAGCTGAGAGCGAAGAGAAAAAATGCTAATTATGCAGCAGACGCACCAAGAAAATTGATACAAAGAATGTTAATAAGTAAAAAACACCACAAATCTTTGTGTTAAATTACATCACATGTGAAGACATTTATGGTTTTACATGCGAAATTTCTGCATGTGCATGTCGCAGACACATACGTCCGTATGTGTGTGCAGAAACACATATTATGATGCGTTTGTTCACAGTTTTATATGTAGTTATAGCATACTGCCCTCTGCTGGAGGAAACACAGAAACACACTTCACTCATTCAGATACAAGAAGGAAAAAATAAATTCTTTCACTCTGTTATATTTATTCACACACACACACACACACACTGAAAATACACACATGCACAAACAAAAGTCATATTTATCATATGTATATATATATATATATATATATATATATATATATATATATATATATATATATTTACCTCATGTATATAAAGCAACTTGTTACTTTAATCATTCCCTATTTATTCCAGCACTTTGCACTGTTGTCTTACTGTTTCCAAATGTTATCGTTGTTATATATACTATATATGTATGTCTTTTATTTATATATATATATATAGTAAAAGTTTTACCTTTGTTCAGCTTAGCTGTTTTTTGCTGTCATAGTGTGTTTTGTTGTACGAGCTGAGATGATGTACTGATCGATATCAGCTTGTTGTTGACGCATCAGTATCAGTGTCTGTCAGTCGATCAGTTCACAGTTGGTTCATCATAATGTCTGATATGTGAATATAATGTGTGTGTGTGTGTGTGTGTGTGT